CATAATTTTAAATGCTCTGTACATAGTAGTATCTGTATTGTATATAGCTTGTGCACCTAAGGTTTTCTTTACTTTTTATTTTATTTTATCAATTTCATTTATTGTTTCAACGTTCAGGCCAGTAATATTCTATTATTTTGTACATTATTGTTATTCTGAAGGGACTTAGTCCCAGAATAAAGTTTTTTTTTCTATCTATCTATCTATCTATCTATATTCATATATTCAATTTGCTCAAATCTGTAAGATAGAACCTTCTCAAAATAAGGTCCCGTATTGTCTAATAAACGTATGTATATGAATAAATTAGCATTCGGCTAAATCTGATTTATGGGTGAAAGGAAGGCATAATTGGTTCAATAGAAATTTCTGAAAAAGATGAGGATGACGAAGATGGTCATTAACAAGCAAATTAATTTCATTAAGGAAGGTAGAAGAATTGATATTTTCATTAATTATTTTAAAGAGGAATGTAACTTATTTTATGATGCGCCTATGTGGTATAAAGTCATTATTTATATTGAAATTCATATTTTTTTTTGTCTATAAAAAATATATTTGCGCCTTTCAACTTATTGTTGACAATCAGCAAATGTGATGGCGAAACATGACATAGGGAAGGAAAGTACTCAGCAGTACCTCTTCCCTAACTTGTTCCAATTACTTAGGTTGTTTAAGGAAGGAGATCTCTCATCCAACGCCTTTTTAGTCCCCTCCTCATGTTCTGAGGTATGTCAGCTGTGGCCATATCTCTCATTAGTCTGTCATTATGTCCGTTTAAATTAGTATAAAATCGTTGATAAAGGGTCGTTATATGTTGGTCAACTGTTGGAAGATGGAGGTCAGTATGTAGAGTTTTGTTAGTCACGTAACAAGGAACTTTTGTTATGAGTCGCAATAATTTTGATTGGAACCTTGGAAGTTTTTGTAGGTGGGTCTTTTTAGCGATACCGTATATTTGTGATGTGTACCATATGGGTTTAAGTAAGTATGTATATGTATTCAGTTCCTGCTTTAGTTTTAGTTTTGAAGATTTGGCAAAACGAGTGTAAAGTAGTTTGAGTCGTTTGTTAAGTGTCTTACGTTTCATTTTGACATGTGAGCCCCATGTCATAAACTGGAGGGCAGGTGTTTTTTCGAAGAGTAAATGTTATATGTTTGGATTTGTCATGAAGTCGAAAAAATTTTGTAGTTTAAGTAAGTGATGAGTTAGTGAGGCCTGTGTAGGGTCTTGATGTTTTGTGAGGATCGTTTTATCGTCTGCATATGTAGCTGTCAAGATCTCATCACCAATAGGTATATCATAAGTGTATATAACGTAAAGTAGAGGGGCTAGTATTGAACCTTGGGGAACTCTTGCTAAGATTGGACGAACTGAAGACATTTTAGAGCCCTGCCGAATTAAAAAAAATGACAGTATAGTCTTAGGTTTTAAAGAGAAGACCCTGGTGCCAGACTTTATCAAACGCTTGAGCAACATCCAAAAATACTCCAGTTGCATATAGTTTTTGTTCTAAAGCTCCAGCAATGTAGTCTGTTACTCTGTGCAATTATGTGTCGTCGAATGGAATGTGCGAAAGCCGAATGATGGTCAGGTGTTACATGTTGGTCAGTCAATATGTCGACAAGTCTTTGGTTTATTAATTTTTCAAAATCTTTGGAGTATATAGAAAGAAGGCTAATGGGTCTGTAGGATGAAGGAATGTATATGCCTTTACCGGGTTTGTAAATCATCTTAATAAGTGAGTATTTCTATCGTAAAGGGAATTTTGAAGTCCTTAGTATACGGTTGTAAATTGTCGTCAGAAATACTAGAGCATTCTTGGGCATTTGGTGGAGTGCTTCGGCTGTTATTAAGTCATAAACAGGAGCTATTCTTTTCGGCAATTGTTTGATTTAAAGTGCAACTTGAGATAGAGTAAAAGAAGGTGGTGGTAGTGTCAGCTGAAGTGAGATATCTAATGCGTTAATTACTAGAGTCTCATGTTCTGTGTTAGTGAAGTTTGTAAACGGTATATTCATATTTAAAAAATGTTTATAATATCGATCTATATTTTGATGGTATAGATAGTTAATGGCCGAAATCAAGATCGATGAAAATATCGATATTGGACCTACTATATCCCGCCCCTTCACATGGGTATTTTTTTAGATATCCAGAAGCGCTAACAAGTCTGACAACACGCCACACACTGTTAAACAATTATTGAATCAAGTGACCCAATTCGAAAAACTAATTGAAAGAAATCTTGCTAGGCAAGATGTAAAATGTCATCATTTTGTTGTAATAGTTAATCAAACCGAAGTAGTCCAACAGAGTATAAAAAGATACCGCAGAATATAAAAATAGTCATTTCTATAGGGCAGATGGGAATACAAAAAAGTTTGTATGAATGTATCAAAATAAAAAAATTATAAAAGAAAATACGAGTATCTGTACGATAACTTCTATTTATTCAAGTTCTTAAGAAAAATCTGTTTAAAGAAAGATAAAGAGTAATTTGTCTTAGAATAGAGTTATAATATTCTAAGTTCTAACACATTCTAATTGGTCGTTTGCTTGTGTAGCTTATAAATCGATGTAATTTTTTTTGTGAAATTTTTACCAAAATGGGCGGAACTTTTAAATAAAAGTATTCTACAAATAAAAATGGGTAAATCATTTACAAAAATTCGGCAATAATAATTTTGATGAATACGAATCTTTGTAAAAATAAATTTTTGTTTCCATTTGAAGGCTTGGTTCTTAGAGATCTAGAAACGCCCACTTGCCAAAAGCGTACAACACAGTACACACAGTCAAAATATTTATTAGTGGAAAGCTTCCAATTCGAAAAAAAAATGTATTAAAATTATTGCCACTGCGAAAGAAATATTACAGGATAATGAAGAAAATGTCGTCACTATGTTCTAATAATTAATCACCAAGTAATACAACAGAATATAAAAACCTACCCAGAATGACCATCTAGAGGCAAATACAAATGAATATATATAAAATATATAATTTTAATAGATTTTTTTTTTAGAATTGGAAGCTCTCCACTAATAAATATTTTGACTGTGTGTGCTGTGTTGTCACACTTTTGGCAAAGGGGCGTTTCTAGATCTCTAAGAACCAAACCTTCAAATGGAAACAAAAATTTATTTTTAAAAAGATTCGTTATCATCGAAATTATTATTGCCGATTTTTTGTAAATGATTGCACATTTTTATTTGTAAAATACTTTTGTTTAAAAGTGCCATCCCTTTTTATAAAAATTTGACCAAAAAAATTACATCGATTCATAGCTACACAAACAAACGACCAATTAGAATGTGTAGAATGTTTTAGAACTTAGAATATTATAACTATATTCTAAGACAAATTACTCTTTATCTTTCTTTAAACAGATATATATATATATATACACATATATATATATATATATATATATATATATATATATATATATATATATATATATATATATATATATATATATATATGCATAAAAAGTGGATCAAACAAACCTAAAACTATAAGTTTAGAAAAGAAATTACTAATATGTCACACCGTACAAATTGGCACTGCTCTGTTTTAAAAACCAGAAACTTTTAAAAATAGTTCGTAGTTCACACCCCTTTTTATGAAATTATTAGCATCCTCTCATTACATCTTAAATAGCTTCATCTCTTCATAACCTACATATATTTTATTCACAAGAATTCTCAGAATTAGGGCGTTCTCAAATTGGTGATCGGCAAACTTTGTCTACTAAATTAATAATAATAATACTTTATTTATTCTGGTACTAGTTCCTTTAGAAAATACAGAAAGACATAAATATGGGCTGAGGAGCCTTAGAGATACATAAATAAAAATACAGAGTAATTAACCAGTCATAGTAAAAAAATGGAAAATTATAAGTTACTTTCGAATTTTAATCAGCTAATAATAAAAAAAATTAAAAATTAAAAAAAAAAAGAATGAAGTGAAAATAATGAAGAACGAACTAATAATTTATATACATATTTACATTAGTATCTATTTACAATTTCATGGGGAGTTAATGGATAAGAAATTATTAAGTACTAAGTACTCATGAATACCCATTTGCTTTCGACTTAAAAATTTGAAGAAAAAAAAGTGGCCCTCAGAAATATTGGACAGTTTGACCTATATAATCGCGTTATTTTGACATTTGTGGGTGGAGATAACGATATTTTTGAAAGTCAAATTTTTTTTTATTTTGTAATCATATTATCTTATATGATGTAGGAATGGTTAACCGTTGATATAATATGAGAAGGAGTTGATCGGGGAGTGAAAAATATTTTCACCATGTTTTATATCTATTGTAGCCCTCATCAAGACCTGCAAAGTGGGTCGAAACGTCGGCAAAAATTAAATAATTTTACTTGTTTAATTTATTATTAATTTGACCGCACCCCCCGATCAACTCCTTCTCATATTATCTTATAATTTGAGTGGAAAGCTAGTGAGTATTCATGGACATTTATTGCCTGATTAGATAGACGAAGTCTGCCGATCTCCAGATTGAAAACACCCCAATTCCTAGAGTTATCGTAAATAAAATATATGTAGATTACGATGAGATGAAGGTATTTACGATGTTTTAGGTGGATGTTAATAATTTGATTAACATCATGTACCACAGAATCCGCAGACACTTAAATAAATAAATCCTCGAAATATTTCATATAAGTTGATTAGTAATGAGTGAAATCTAACTTAAACCATTTGAAGTGGTGTAATAAACCATATTTTGTTCTTACCAATCTGTGATATGTATGTGGAGTATATATGAATCTTCAGGAGATAAAATTACGACTTGGTAATAATGTGGTGTAGACTTACGAAACATTATTAGTAACCAATAACTATAATGAGCACTTCTCGTTTGTTACTATTTAGATGTATATATAACCAATTTGTCTAATTAAAGAAAGAGTTTTATAATCTTCAAATCAACCAAGAACAGCAAATAGATACTTACAATATAAGCATCTTTGACAGATCCCTCGACTTTGGCAATAAAATCATTTACGTTGCTGACATATAAGTTGAAGTCGTCGTTCACGTGACCCATGACGGTTTTGCGGGCAGCATCTTCGCCTTCCTTAGCAATTAGCGAGGTGTCTGCCAAAACATGGGATGAGGCCTGCTGTACAAGTTGTTCTTTTTTCACAACGGTCACCTTACGGGCGTCTTCTAGTTGTTGTGTGAGGACTTGCAAAATATTTGTGATTGGCAAGTCAGTTGGATACAATTCCTAAACAGAATAATCCTTTAGACAATTATTATAGAATACTTGAAATTTTGTTTAAACAATAAAAGAAAACCAAAATTCGAAAGCATCACAATTTCATCGTTTTTGAATGAATTGACTTTAGTGATACTTCTAGTTGGAAAATTTATAATATTGGTACAGAAAGTAAGTAAGTTGATTCCAGAGTTGGTGATTGCAGTATTGCAATATGTTTACTGTAAATTAATATTCCTACCAATAATATCAGTAAAATTAATGTTGAAATTGGAATTAGTCATTCTGTAAACTGAAATACTCAAATGATGTGAATACCTGATTATTATGCCAAATTAATAATTTGTTGAAATTCTGGAATATGAACAAAAATTTAATTGTAAATTTAGAAATAGCATCTTCGTAATTCTAATCATTAAGTGGATTAAATTCGCAACCCAGGTTTCAACCAATTAATATGTATATCTATCTATCTGTATAAATTTATATATATATATATATATATATATATATTAATTATAAGATAATATATACAATAAATTATATTATATATATATATATATATATATATATATATATATATATATATATAAAATAATTTATGGTACGTATACAAAGAGGACGGATCCTAACGAAAACGTCAAACTTCTTATTTCCAGAATTATTCCTTCCTTATTATGATTACAAAGTAGCAATAAGAATAATTATAATAATGTAATCATATGAATTAACATTAACTCGCGATGTATAAAATAGATTCATAATGAAATTAAAAATTTATCTGAATTTTGGATTCATCATGTATTTTTCTCACTGTTTGCAGTGATTGACATTATAAGAAAAAATGTAAATTCTTTAAAGAAAATACATTAAACTGTCATTTAAAAGTTTAGTTTACTGGGTGCGCGATTCAGAACATATGCATCGAGGGCCAAAATAATATTTTAATAAATAGATAATATAATGAAAATCTGTAATAAATTAATATGGAGATTATGGAGATATCTATACTTGTATGAACTATTCCTGCTATACAGTCTTTATCTTAGGTATTTTTTTCATTCACTTACATTTATGGCTGTCTGGATGTGGTATTTCATTCTTCTAATGTCGGAGTCTGCTGAATCGATAACATCTTGGGCATCACTGCTGAAGTGTGAGACAAGAGTTGCCGAACCACTATATGGGACCCTCAAGAAAACAGGGACATCGTCCAGAAGGTGATAATTTACCCTTTCTATCAAGTCCTTGGAGTGAATCTTGATGTCCTCTATGTCAGGACCGAGGTTAGCCTTCAAGGAGTCTATGACGCTCTTCGGCGCAGAAGAGGCAGCAGCGACCAACCCGACGATTAGGAGAGTTACTTGGAATACCTTCATTGTTGAAATCGGTTCGGTAAGTGATGAGTTCTGCCTCAGCCTCCGTTTATATAAACCAAACTTTGTTTGTAACCTTGGACATCATGGCGCAATTATTAACGGTTATGCTCGATTACCTAATAACTATAAAACAATTTGCTAAATAGACAATTTGATATTGCACGTTTTTAATACCTACTTTTTTTTCTAACGACCCCTCTTTTTTACAAACCAGATAAAATATGGAAAACTTCTTTTCCCCTTTCCCTCTTCCTTACTTTTTGATCTACACGAGATATTGACCGGACCAGAAGTGAGGACGAGGGGTTAATACCTACTTTTTTTTTCTTACAACCCCTCTTTTTAACAAACCAGATAAAATATGAAATACTTCTTTACCCTTTTCTTCCTTCCTCACTTTTTGATCTACACGAGATATTGACAGGACCAGAAGTGAGGACGAGGGGTTAATACCAAAGTTAAAAGTCCCCAGGAACCGGGATTTATCACAGGTTGCTCCGGATAACGCATGTTTTACACACGCGTTAGGCCGCGCTGCAAAGCCAACCTAATCTATGACACATTTCACAAACCCTTAAGATTAGAATAACGTAAATATGGAAAGAACATGACGTTAAATAGGCAATTAACCAGGCAACCTCCTCCCTACCCCACCCCCCTCATACACGAAAAATCCTTTAAACCAAAGAGTCCAAACCCAAATCTTCCAAAAAAATTGTCACTCTAGACCCGTAGAGTCAAGCACGAGATCGGAGTTCCATCGCCTAATTGTAAATAGCGTATAAAGGTATCTATTTATTTATTTTTTCTTCTCCATTACCGAAAGTAGAGAAGCTATGTATTAGTGCAAGAGGTTAAAAACTAAATTAAAATTTGTAATTAGAATCGAAAATATTTATTCACGTTTCACGTTTTGGACGTCTAGGATCAAATTTGGTTCGGTGTCGATCGGTCAGAGGTCAAATCGATGTGACGGACATATCTACTACCGTTCGCCCGATTCTTGTGAAAATTTCAGGGATTGTGCCGGTCGGTGTCTAGATGGTCACATATAAATTTTATTAAATTCCATAAGCACTTCTACTTGCTCATTTCAACTTCTTAGATATGCCAATTTTTAGAAATGGCTCCTTCTATTTGAAAGAATGAGGCTGTATTGACTTCATTGAATTCCGTTCTATACTTTGTCTTATATAAGCTCAAATGTGTTTTCCTTAAAACGCCTATATCTCTAAAACTATGAGTTAGAATTGGCTCGAATTATTAAAAATAAAATGTAATATTTGTTACGCCTATAGCAAACTATAGGCTTCGTTTTATTTTCAAAAAAACGGCTTGTTCCAACGGAAATTTGGAGAATCGTTTAGAAATTGTCTAGAACCAATTTCATTGAATCCTATTTGATACTTAAAATTAATAAAAATAGCTGTTAACAATATAGTGGCTATGAAATGCGGTAGGATGAAATTCTCTAAATTAAACTAAATATATCTTATTTCATTAGGACTGTTGATAAATTAGTTTTGAGAACTTACAATCTAACTTTTGGCATGATGTTAAGTTGGTAAAAATACAAACAGAAAAATACAATTCGTTTCCTGCCAACAGACCAAAAGAATAAAGTATAAAGAAAATGAAAAAATATTACATTATGTCATATACTTACAACAAACGCAGAGTGGTAAATAAAAATAAAATAGAATAAAATATATTCCTACAATCGATTGGCTAAACTTTATTATTAAATAAAGATAAATTAATAATAACAGTAATAAAATATGAAAATTAGTTTCGTTATCTAAATATATTTAAATAAGGTTGCAGCATGGTACATTAAAATACATATATAAATAAACATTTTGAATTAGAAATAAACAGAACGTCCATTTTTTCCTCTGGTGAAATTACAGATTTAGTAGATGTTTTGGATACCTGATCGATCAGCTGAGGAGCAAGGTTGTGTTTCTAAGTTTCTAAGATTCTCTGTTATTATTCAGTTAAAACAGATCAAGAATACACCAGAAATTTGATATTTACTGTGTCCAGTTATCAACATATAGTTTTTTTTTTTACCAAGAATATCACTAGTAGAGTGACTAATAAGAAAACAAGGTCGTTATGCCCGACACCTTCATCTTCTTCTCCGGCCTAACAAAAGCCTCGTAAGTCTCGTCAAACACCTCCAATGACACCTGTTAGCTCCGAGGAACATGAAAACCTGCCGGGTACATCACCACCTCAACCTCAACCAGGTACATCATCACAAGTGACAATTGAAGAAACTCCCTTTTTTTACACACAACTCCTATCAGGTACTTCAGAATGACAGTGAGGCAATGGAGTCCGCACCCACACCAAGAGACCCCCGACCTCCATCAATATTCGTTAAGAATATAAAGCACTTTCAATTACTGTGTTTTCAACAAAACAAGATAGCAGGCTCCGGAAGCTACTCATGTTTAAGTAGAACAAATGACACCAAAATATTACCAGATACAGCTGATACCTATAGAAAAATTGTGAAGTATCTAACAGAGACCAAAGCAGACTTTCACACGCATCAATTGCGGCAGGATCGAGCATTAAGAATGGTTGTAAGAAACCTACACCCCTCAACACCAACTCAAACAATAGAAGAAGAACTAAAAACTTTAGGTTTCAAAGTGTGCCAGATAATAAATGTTCTAAACAGACTAAGGAATAGTTCCTCTACCTCTGTTTTTTATAGACCTGGAGCTGACTCCTGGAATCGAAAGAATCTACGAGGTTACAAGATTGTACTACACAAGTGTAAGGGTGAAGACTATTTAAGAATTTAAAAAAAGTAGATCTTTTTTCGCTTTAATCAGCCACCCTCATCTCTGCATATCTTGTGCTGTTTCTTTCTACTTATCCACATTCAACTCTATTGCATCCTTGTTGATCCGATCTATCCATCTGGTATTTGGCCTTCAGTGTGGTCTGGTCATTGTTGTATGCAGGTTTCCAGATGGATTACTCCAATCTACATGCCCAACCAATCCTAACCTCCTTGCAATCATATAATGAGATATTAATTGAGCAGTATCTTAAAGAAGTTCTTTATTGATGTTTCTTCATTATGCGTTGGTGCACTTAACCCAGATCGCTCCGGTTATCATGCGGAGGATCTTTCTCTCAAATCTTTCAATACTTTTTTCTAGAGTGCTGGTTAGGATCAAGGTCTCGCAGCCGTATATCAGAAATAGCTTTATCATAGACTTATTTTGTACGTCCTTAATGTTTTGGTATCACAATACCAATGAAGGAAAGAAGAAAGCTCTGTTTTCGCTTGTTGTACGCTGATCTAGGTCAGACCGTTGGTCATTCATTGGGGACATTGTGGAGTTAAGACATTTGAATTCGTCTCTTTTTGGAAATATCTCCTTTCTGAGCAGATCCTGTTATTGGTGCGGAATTAAAATGATTTGGTAGATATAATCTTCGTCGAAATGTGAAGGTAACACTTTTGCTTTTAGATTCATTGTTTTGATGCGCCAATTATTACCCCAATGCTCAATCAGTGAGAGATGTGTTTATATTTTCAAGGATGCTATTTAAGGATCTGTGTTGGACGATAATATAGCGGTGTCGCCATCAAACGTTGCCAGGAAGGTATCGGGAATGACAAGGATATCAGCGGTAAAGAACGGGACCCAAGATGAACACCGTTAGGTGTGAGGACCACCGGCCTCAACTGGATACCAATTGTAAAATTGTTAACTTAGTAATATTTATAAGATGTTATATTGATAACAGTTTCGTATATTATCACTCTAATTTAAGGATTTTGTAGTTAAGTATTTATTTATTGTTGTTTTTTAAAAATCATATTGCCACATTCAAAGAGCTTTATTTTTTTTTTTTTTAAGAAAATTACATTATTTCTACAATATTATTTTTTAGAAAGTAAATTAATATTTAATCCTATATTGAAAAGAAGAATTTTCGTAAAAGTATCAAATTAATTAGGATGTAAACAGAAGATTTATATAAGTTCTAAAATAAATTTAGAACTTGCACATTTCTAATTTACATGATTTATAGTATATCAGCTGTGCCAAATAAATACTCTACCAATATATTATCAGAAGTAATATATCTATTTTCTTAAGCTTCTCCACTGAAAGTTTATATTAAAAATGTCAGAGGTTGAAAGTTTTATTCAGTTTTAACAGTTTCTGTCAGTCTTTTTAGGAAAATAAGTTTTAAAAAATAAAACCCCTGCAAAATGAGGTTGTGAATTGATAAGATTCGGAATTTGGAAAAGTTATCAAGGGTAAAAAATACAAAAAAAATAACATTGTAATATATGAATCAGTTGTATTTGTACTCTTCAAGTTGTTTTACAATCCATGGTGCAACTACGAAATTCCTTATTGAGAAACCAATCATAGGAGTTTCTGAAACAATAAATGTGTCATTACTAATTGTTACTTATGTTAACTAAGATAAAAGATAAAATAATCAGAAATACTTAATAAAAAGTAAACAACAATGGAATTTCTGTGATGAATGAAACGAAACCATCGAAAACGAAATGTTTGAAATATTGTTATGATTGCAAAATAATACATAAAATACTAAATATATTGTACAGTGTAAATGTTTTATTAATGAAAATAAAAACATTATTTTTCCTCATCCTGAACTGTATTCGCTCATGCTACTATTAAGTGACAACAATGTTAATATTAAATATTATATTTAAAAAGTCGTATAATTTTACATAACTTGTTTTGACATCGATATTTGTGAAAAAAATATTCTATAGAGGGAGATCTCTTTGAGAGAAGTGGCCTAATTATAATTTCGCTTACTATACCACACTATAATAATTTAATTCATATTATTTAATGTATGGCCAAGAACTCTCTAATTAGAGATATATTTAACGTATGATGGGAGATGAGAAAAACAGTCAATGAGATCATTGCCATAGCGGTACAGTGGGCAATGAAATAGCTGGCCAAGCTGTTAATTTAGCGAAGAAGAGAGAAGTATCAAGCATATTTGCCATAAATGACATCATAGTAGAAGATTAGGTACACAAATATAAACACCGTCGGCTAAGTA